ATGGGTGCCGGCATGCATTCGCTATTATCTTGTTTCGCTGTAAATAGCAGTAATCTTGCAGTTTTGGAAGTATTTATACGGATGCTATGACCTTGGATGCGCACGTAACATGAAGATGCTGCGGGCAAATAGGGGGGGGGAGTGTGGGTGCGTCAAGCGTTCTGTAATCCCCAGGGCTGACAGCACATGGGTTTAGGGTGGTGCAAACTAGACACCATCTAAAGCGCGAGAGAAGCTTTTGCCGTTGTACATGTGCTTTTGAAAGAACGCATCGGACTCGTAAAGCAGTGTCGCAAGAAGGAGACCTTGACCTCATGCGCTTCAGCAGGTGAGAAGCCTTGCCAGCACGTTGGAGGGAAGTTGAAGATTTACGCACACATATTACCGAAGCAGCTGACCCCAGAAAACGGTTCATCGGGTCTTTTAATTTGTCATAATTTGTCAAAGGTTCACGCAAAAGCTTAGTAGGAGGGTCCTGCTGAAATGCACGGAGAGGGCCAGGGAGTGGTGGGCTGGTAGGGCCTTGACAGCCTGCTCTGGAAGGGGAGTTTTTGCTACAAAGATGCCAGAGGAATGATTCCTGGGATCCTTCGCATGCAGGGCTGAGCCATGCAGACATCACTAGATGCCAGGTGAGAGTGAAGACTTAAGTCGCATGAAGCATGTCTGCTTCTACAGATAGTCCTTGCTTTACTGACCCCAAAGCTGCTAAAGGCCGCATTTTACGTGCGAGTTTTGCTCTCAGCTGATGTACATGATTGGAAGACGTCGTCAAGTCTTGTTTGGCATGACGCTTTCTTTCAACGGCTGATGGGCAAGTCACCATACGTCTTGTAGCAGCACCAGCGAGCAAGCACTGCCTCTGGGGTCACGACTCTCAGGGGGACATGGGACATGTGATTTAAGACAAGACATTTTTGGAGTGGAGTGGGGAGCTATTATTCTCAGGACACTAGGATTCTGAAAAGGAAGTTTCCCTGTCATCGTCCTAGATCATGGGCATGATCTGATACGAAACCTGCTCTACAAACACAATAAAACTCTCTCCACCAATGCCCAGGAAAATCGCAGTCGTTGATGAATGCAAGGCACAGGACAAGTCAGAATTTTAGCCTTTGCACGCAGAGCCGTGCGACAGAGGGCCTCACTGCCACAGAAGAAGTCACGAGTGGCTGACAGCAGTGCAACGCAGGTTCGCGGCATTTCGCAGCCTCTGTGTCTGGAGCAGTGGCATGATGCAGTATGCGGACATCATGCTCTGTTCAACCTGCGTGGCCTGACGATGACAGTGCTTCAATGTGCCAAGCATGTGTAACTTGCTCTCCCAGCTAGACATATTAGATATCGTAGAATACCTCCGTCGCTACTTCATTCTGCCTGGCAGCCGACCAGATAGCTTGCAGAACGTTAGGCCGTTAGGCGCAACTTGACCCGCTGCGGGGGGGAAATGGCAAACAAAGAACCACATATAGAATGAAGAGCTGCCCCTGAACAACGCGAATCTGCACTACGAAAAAAACCAGGATGCCTCCTCTGCGGTGACTTCTCCCTCCTGCATGACGAGCAGCGATTCTGGTGTCAAGCGCTTTCTGACATTGAGTGGCTTGAATTAAGTCTCCGTTCTCTTGGATCATGGTCTGGGGCTTGCAAGTTCTCAACGCTTGTCACCTCCTACTAAGCTGATCTTGTTTTTGCGGAAATAACTTGCAATTGCCGATAACTTGCAGCCTTGTCGCAATTCGATTCTCAAGCGTAGGGGTGTTGGATGGTGCTGTGCGGCAAGCCCTTCTGGAAAGTAGTATCATTGAAAGCGTTTCCCAAGTTTGGCACCTTATTCCATTCGACCAGGTCAGGTTACGTCATGAGTGTCGAATGCACACCACTCAAGCAAAGGTCATCTGCTGCTGGAGACTCGTAACCTTCAACTAATCACGAACATACAAACATGCACACTGACACAAACACCAACTCGTCTGAGGCGCCTTGCTCGTCATGGAGAGGCCAGCGGCAGCTGGCCAAGGAGCTGAGGGTGGAGCTGTGGATGGAGGGAACTTTGCACCATCTTACTGTATTTGGGTCCTCCTAAGTGGGGCATGTTTGATCTTGTTTGTGCCTGGCCAGGAGTCGGGTGACTGGTGGGATTGCAGATGAAGTGCACTTGCGGTGTCTCGCCGCGCATACTGTTGAGCCACAGAGTCGGAAAGGTAGCAGTGTGCATGTCTGCTCAACAGGTTGTCGCTACATACTTGGGGACTTCACTGTTTCTGCAGCATGCCACACGCCTTATGATTGCATGAATGGACTCAGCAAAGTGTTTGCAAATAGAATGTTTCATAAGGCTTCAGGCATGTATGTCTTTGCCGGGAAGGTCTGGCCTGTCGCAGTTTTCATAGAATGGGCCGACAAGCAGCAACAGCTGGAACGAATGTGGAGTGAGACAGCGTTTTCCTGGCCAAGGCATTTAGTCAGCTCGGACCCAGAGCTCTCGGGCCGAGTGACTGTGGCATCATCCCTGGAAAGTCTAGAGGAGCTTGCTTGCTGCAGGTCAATCACGTCAATCCCAAAAGTCAGTCTTCGGCACGGAATCTTGCCCAGGTACATTCCCCTGAGTGGCAGACGTCTTTCAGAGGTTAGGTATTGAAACGTGTCTCTGCATGCACAAGTGACTTCGGTGGCGCAACCACTTGAGCTGCAAGAACTGCAAGCTGCTTCCAACCGGCGCGGCACCACGACCACCTCACACTCCAGGGAAGTGCCGTCTGCACCATGGCCACTATCACGAACTGAACAGTCGGCAGAAAGCAATGCGGCCAGTTGCGGCAGAAGTCTGATCCATGAGCGCGAAGCGGAGACAGAAGTTGACCAACATGCTGAAGCCTATAAGTTTATAAGCAATTAGCGTCTCCAGCCCAAGCTTCCAAGTTCACATTGATAGTATTTTGCCAGCATATTGACGTGCCTCAAAATGCTGCGTGATCCAAATCCTCTTTGTGCACGCTGATGATACTACGAACACACCTCACTTGATCGGCCACATCTCTCAAATTTCTTTGTCTATGTGACTTTGATACTGACAGTTTCATCCTGGACCGGTCTCCGCAGGATCAGCTACCAGCTGGCTCACTCGGCTCGCGCGAGCGCGGACGGGTGCTTCGAATTGCACTGCTGAGGGCATGCTAGCTGGCAGCCTTCACCAGCCATGTGAACTCATGCACGATTGAGCCCGAGTTAGTCTTGAGACTTTGTTAATGAGAAGCCGTCCGAGAATAATTGAGTTGTGGAGCGCAATACCCTGCAAGGTCCACGGCTTTCTGCTCGGTGCAGCAACTCACTGGCACCTTGCTTGATGTTATCGGCTAGTTCTGGCTAGGTGCAGCACATGCGAGTGGGCATCTGCCAGGTGTCTGAAGGAAGGCAATCTCTTAGCCGTTTAGCCGTGTCTCACCACAAGTGCTGCAGCGACCAGTCCCAAAGCCTGCCAGATGGCCTCTTGCATGTTTCGACTTCTGCAGGTACAGTGCAGCGGTGGTCACTGGGAGAGGTGAGCTTGTGGAAACATAATGGAGCTAGGTATAAATTTGTTGGTTTTGTTTTGTTTTGCGCTCCATTGCAGTGAGTTCTTTTCAAGATGAGGGTTGTTGCTGCATAACTGCTAGCTCCATAAGGGGCATTTTCTGGATCCTATGGGAGCGAAGGCAAATAATCAGTTCAATCTAAGGTTCGTGTCTGCTGCTTGAAGATTTGATAACATTTGCTACGAGCCCTTTCGAGCACTGGCCTACCAGTACCAGGGACACTTCTGTAAACAAGAGAAGCAGTAGCTCAACAGTAAGTAGGAAAAAGACAGCAATCATCAGAATAATGACCGAAATCATGACAGAGAAACACTGGTGCTCTGAAGAAAGCAAAAAATAGCGGAATGCTGTTCAATGAATACAATACTTGTAGCAATGCCAAACAACCAAACGATCATCGCCACCGAAATAAGAAACCATTGCAGAAGCAATGGCAATCCGCACAGTTCGTAGGAAGAGAAAGAACCAAGTCGTACCCGCAAAAGTGCAGGTAGGGCACATACAACAAATCAGTCATGATGGCAAGAAGACGAATTGGCCAGTGACCATTGTGATAATACCAACAAAACTACTTCCAGCATGAGAGAAGATAAACCAACATGAAGAATGAAGATATGAACAGTGTTGGCAATCGTGATGGGAGTAGTTACAATACAGATAATAAAGGGCTTGCAAGACTATGACTGCAGTAATCACAACAACAGGTGGGGTAGCTGGTGCTACTGTGGATGAAAGAATTCTTGGATCATTTTACATCACCCCAGAAGTGGTAATCACAATTATTTGGTGATACGAAGTTGTGCAAGATTTCCTCCATCCGCACACGATACCATCAAAAAAATCCAAAAATTAAAAAACTTAGAGAGAGCGGAAAAATAACATAGTAACATCCATTGGGTCCATGATTTGAGTAGCCAGAGGACGCATAAAGGGAACAGCAAATACTGACATTGCGGAATAGACACAGGAACATGTTCAGCAGCAAGCAAGAGCAATAGAAGTAGCAAAGGCGGTTATGCCCATAGCTGCAGTAGGGATATTCAAATATTCCGTCACCATGATAAGTCACATTACAATGTATGTACGGGACCAGGGAGCTTGGTTTGTCAAAAGAAGGGTTGTGCGTTGAGTGGCTCGCCCTGCTGAATGGTCTCACCCGCCCAGTAGTTTGCAATACTGCTACCGGAGGGATGCCGAAACAAATACGTAACACCAGCTTTAACATCAATGACAGGAACGATAATAATGCACGATCAGAAAGAAAATTTGTTCTGGTCAAGAGAAAGGTCGGAAAGATAAGGTCTGAGTCATGTATGGCTCTGGTTCCTCTCAACCTCCTAGACTTAGTGGTTCCGTGGTGCTCGGTCCGGTGGTCCTTTGGCAAGGGGAATTTGGCAGAACAGTGGGGATCATGGACGAAACAGGGGCAAAAGTGTGTAGGAGTAAGGGAAAGTATCACACGCTATGTACAAAAAACAGGTAATTGTACAGCAACCTTCCAACTCAAAAGATGCCCAAATTTTTCTGCATTTAACCATACTGTGCCAATTCCCTGTGACAGATGCTCATGGCAAGATCTACTTCTTCGATTCCTACAACACACCGTTTAATTCAGAGATCGAGTCCATGGTGGAAAGGCACTTGTCTGTAAGTCGGACACAGACGCTGGACACCTTGAAGCAGCATCCTGCTTGGGCCCACAAGCCAAGTGACCATCTTGAAAACGCATTTGAGCACGGAGTGGAGGAATGGTGGAAAGGGATGAAGAAAGCTTCTTTATTCTGGCAGCACAAGCCGCTACATGTCCGCCGAGAGCTGATGCGCATGGACCTGCAACTAGTTCTGAGCTCAGCCGCTTGACCGCTTGACGGTTTTCTGTTATGGACGGCCCAGCTGCAGCTCAGGTCAAAGAGTTCTTGCGAGTTCTCACAGACAAGTATTGCCCTGCTTGACGTCTTCATGCGGGATGGCCTTTGTCCAGATCACATGGCCATGTACAGCCGCAAGGGATCATTGCATGAAAGAGTGCATCGTGCTGTGGGGGCAAGTGTATCTTTTCAACGCATGGGAAGGTTGTGCCTTGCCCAGCGACGGCCAGGTCAACTACTACTCTATACCCAACTCGCAGCAGCCGGGCCTGTTGAAGGAGATGGATCTGGGCTCTGTGAGGCCGGTTCATGGCATATGCCGCATGTAGCCGCTCCGTACAACAGCTCGAGTGTTGAAGCCTTCAAGCACTCCCTAGGGCCAGCATCAACCTCGGCTTCCGCGTCGGCAATTGAGGTGGAGAGCAAGGTGCAGAGATGTGAAGAGATGTGCAGATGGGAGACCTTCTGTTTGGCATGAAATACTTGATTAGTCTGACAGTTGAACATCCTGTTCACATTGGCATGGCTCTCACCACACTATTGCAACGTCGGCATTTCGGCAGCCAAGTGCAGACGCGTAGTTGTTGAATCATGTTGCTGCGCGAGGCCTGGAATTTGCTAGCGAACCAATCGCTGAGTCATGGCCAAGGACGGGCGAGAAGCCTTTGCTGGAGAGCTCGCATGTAGCCAACGGAATTTCTACTAGGCCTGCTGTGCTGATGAGCTGAAACTATAGGAGTCAGCATGCTTACACTTGCACTACAATGTCAGAGCGCGCACTGCCGCATACAGAGAAGCACGTGCCATAGCATCTTCCATATTTTCGAGTACTACCAGTTGAATGCCCAAGCGGGTTGGCATGCGGGTGTTGAGTTGGCAAGCAAGATCTTTGCATGTTTTCGACAAGCTCATCTACAAAGCAGAAGCGCTGCAGGGCAAAGCCCTACCTTGCCTGTGAGTTTTTCGTCAAAAGCAACCAATTAACCTGCCAATCCAGGCACGAGTTGCCAGCAGCCACAAATGTGGTTCGGCAGAAGTTTTGGCAATACCTCGCAGATGTCCTTCCTGCTGGCTGAGGGGTTGTTCGGTCCATTGCAGGGTTCCTCGCTAATGACAGGCGTGAATGAGATGTGCTCCCCTTGACGAGTGCCTGCGTGCAACAGCATGTTGTGGATTGCTGCGGCAGGCAACAACATTCAACGAGACATACCTAAGGTCAGGGATTCATAAGGGTTTCTAGAGTTCAAAGTTTGATTCCTTGGAGAACACTTTATGGACGTGAACTCAGGAACCACAAGTCATGAACAACTGATGTCGCTCTCTTTCCATACTGTGCACATGGGTAAAAATATTCAAGAGCATGGGAATCCTGACCCGCTCACTCAAACTTTTCCTGCATGCATTTGCCTTGCAGTTTGCTTGCCTCGCATGTCCTCTTTTGTGCTAGCACTCTTCGTGCTCTGCTTATGTCTCGCGTTAAGTTTCAACTCCTCTAGCTCCCGCGATATGCCAACAGTGAATACTTGCCCGATCCTGTGCTGCTAGAAGCAAAGCACACTGATTGACATAGTACCTCCTCGTACTTGTACGTTTTTTGACGCAGCGCAAGGTCTACCTTGGCTGAAGGTTTTTGCCAAGCCCTTCTTACGCCGAAATGCCTTGCAACTTGCGGTTGGCACCACAATGTTTTGACATTGGCTCCAGTGCCCATGATCTTCATGGCAATGGAGCAGGAGCGAGACAGAGGTTGTGAGACATTGCGGAGAGAGGGAAAATGTCACGTTTGCAAGACTTGAGTTGGCTTGCTGTTGAATTCGGACAGATGCCTGCCAATTTGTTCACTTAAGATGCCCATTTTCTATGCCCATGTTCTCATCTACAGTTTCTTGACTGAGGTTGTGCCTTGCCGGCAGGCAGGCTTGCTCTGTTCATGTCGGAGAATTGCGTAAAGACTCAGGGATGACTTCTGTTTTATGGACATTTTGCAAACCATGAGTCCTGCATGCTGTGATTGCGCGCAGCAAGTCAAGTCCATTCCTGCATGGCACTGCTAAGTATGTGCATAGCGTGAGGTAGGCAGCTGACTTGACCAAGAGATGTTATGCAGGCCAGCAGATGCCAGTGCAATTTCTCGCCATGCACTGGTGTTAGTGGAGAGATGCGTGACAGCGATTCCCTGTTGGTGCCGCTCTCTCTGCTGCCGATGCCGTCTGGTGTGCGACAAGCTCAAGAACAAGCACCAAGCAGGTCGTAACAATGGCCCGGATTTTTTGAGATGTAGTGGCAAACGGGCTGCAAACACTCTTTAGTCTAGGCAATCAGGTTTGGTCGAGGCCATCTGTTACAGTCAAACTTCTCCGACTTGAAGGTCTAGCAGCATGCAAGGCACGCGTCAAGGTAAAATTGAGCTGTTCACTAAAGTGTAATGCACAATTCAGTAAGGTGTAGTAGTCGTGAGCCAACATTGTTCCAAGAAACCTGCTCTCGGGGGCAGTGGTGCGAAATGTCTCGGACAGAATGCTTCTTGACTCAGCGCAGTCCAGCGCTCGAGAGGCTCTAGGAGATTCAGAACGCGCCTGAACATTGGGTGAGGCCAGATGGGGGCATGGGCTCAAAGCTTTCTTTTTGGTAGGTCTGAGCAAGTTGAAGTTCTGTTGAGTCCTGTTGATTGCATATTTGCTGAAGTTACTTGTTTTTGAAGCTGCAGTTTCACAAAGTGAGTGCCATGATTCCGCAGAGTTGCTGGCTTGTGCAGCTCCACGAGGTCCAGTCTAAAGACCCTACTCGTCAGTAGCAGAAGGCAGCCAAAAGATCATTGCGCAGTCTACTCCAGGTCATAGTCAACATACAGCAAACAGTCATGGTGAACATCGCGGCTGCAAAGCGCTGAGCACGTGCAGCACTGATTCTCGACTTTCAAACCGCTGAAGATCATCCGAACCGATCGCTCATGGAGACTGCAAAGGTGCAAGCATTCACAGGCACGCCCAGATGAACTGCACTTGGCATCATCACGTGGACTTGTTTTTTTTCGCAGGAGACGCTCCATCACATGGAGACTTGACAGAGCGGTCAAAGGCAGCCCTCAAACGCCTTGCGGCGCGAGCACCAGTGACTTGGAACGTCTTTGGTCAAATCCTGAAACATCAGAAAAACTGAGCTGTTTGTCCTCTGATTCCTGCCAGTGTTTTGGGTTGGTCCCTCCAAGTCAAGCTTGCAAACAGTCTGCAGAGCTGCGGATTGACTCAGGATTCGTGGTTTCACTTGAGTCTGAGGTCAGTGCAAGTCATGGCCCAGGAGTCATCCTTCAAAGGCATGGGGCCAAACTTCGCCGCCTTCACGAGCATCAGCAGGAGGAAACGCTACTACTAGGACCGATTGCCCATTGATCACATGTTAGGATGCGCTGCGGAAATCAACTGGTAAATATTGAGTCTTCACACTTGCCTGAAGGAGCAGCATGCTCAGAAGTCTTCACGGGTCCACGTCTCGCGAAAGTCCTGCGGCCAGCCTTTGACTGCCAGAAGCGTGTGATTGAGCAATTGGAGACGGATGCGCCTTTTGAACCACTTGGCATTCACACAAGCGCAGGTGGCCCGGTAGGAAGGATGACTCATAGGACTCAACACAAAGTCGTGAAGTTGTGCACGATCAGCTTCATTACTGGCTCAGGCTTTCCGCCTGCCGTGACAGACTTTGTGGAGATCCTGGAGGTTCACTTGCCTTGGCCTACCGAAGACGATTGGTTTCTCAATTTGCAGTTAGAGGGAGCCTCCGCTGTGTGGGCAGGAGTGGAGGCCTTGGCTGCCCTGCGAGCTCAAAATCTTGTTCCTGCCATTTCCAGATGTGAGCTGCAGAACAAAGATCCATGCTACCTGGGGGTCGCCGAGCAGTCCTACCATGGTGCACGGACCACAGGGCTTGGACAACCGGCGCTGCCACGGTGGACCAACGCTCCGCGCACCGATGGTCAAATACCATACCCCCTACCACCCGCAGAGGCTGCGACAAGCGAATCAGCCAAAAAGGCGTATTTGAAGGAATTTGAAGGCTTCCTCGCAGAGAACACAGAAAGAATCGGCATCTTCATCTTTGAGCCTCAGTGGGGTTCCAGCTTACTGGGCAGAACTTGGCCCAAAGATCTGCTCCAGAAAGTCATTGAACTTTGCCACCGCTTTGAAAAGAGTGTCCTCTGTGATGAGATCATGTGTGGGCTAGGCCGCCGCACTTCTTGCCTCCAAAATCTGGGGGTCAATTTTGTTTTTTAAGTTCAGGGGGGATACACAGGACTGCCCAGATAGGCACAGCCACACATGGGGCAACTTGTGTTTGCTTTTAGCCCTGTGCAGGCCGCCATGGTCACGACAGCTTGTTCCTCAGTACAGCCTGGGGGCTTAACCCGGATGCAGTTACATTTGGGAAAGCTATTGCAGCCGGAACATTTCCGCTCTCGGGAGTCGCCGTCCGTCGTGGTGCAACCACCTTGCTGCGATCTGGCCAGAAAATTCTTCAAGGTCATACATATGCAGGATCTTCAGAGCTTGCATATCTCACTGCAACCCAAGTTCTGAAGGAAGTGCCAGCATGGTTTCGAAAAGTATCTGAGTTGGGCATGCTGGTGCCAGAGATTCTGGGTCCTTTGCAAGAAGATGAGTTTCTCCGCCTGCATGGCCACGGACTTCTGTGGGGTGTAGAGCTCTTGCCACCGAGAGGGGCAAAGGACCTGGAGCGCCTGAAGCAACTTTGCCACCAGGAAAATGTTTGGCCTTACTTCGTTGAGGCTCCAAAAAAAGGATTCATGATCAGCCCGGCCTTGGACATCTCTGAGGCTCACCTCCGTGAGGGACTTAGACGACTCGCACGGGCTCTTCAAGCGCTCAAGAGCTGTCCCTAACTTTAGGGATGGCATGGACATGCCCCGGCACCCAACGGAAAACAAGACTTGCCGGTTGGGAGCTGAAATCTTTTGCCTTGTTTGCGGAACGTCACTTTGTACCCACTATGTCCAGGCTTCAGTGCGGCTGTAGCACGGGCAGCGGACCAATGATGAGTTAATGGTGATGAATTAATGGCCATGTACACTTGCAGCTTCTCAGCAGCAAGCCTGTGAGAGTCCAATGAGTCCATGAGCCTCCATGCGAAAAGCCACCATAGTGCGGGCCCTCATACTCCACCCGAAGTTGTTTTGAACCATTGGCGGATGCATCACAAGTCGAGCCATGCTAGTGTCTGCAGCCTTCAGACCCCAGAAGCTGAACAAGAAACGATCTGCCTCTTGCATCCTTTTGCGACATGTGATCAATAGTCCTTTGTCCCTAATCCAAGCACCAGTTTTATAAAAGGGACCATATTTAAAGAATTTCTTCGGCAAAATTAGCCGCCAAAGACTACTTTGAATTAGGTGGAATTTCGTGTGGGAAAAGGGACTAGATTTGAAGAATTTTTTTGGGGACCAATCCTGAAAATCAAGATATTCAATGCATTCCTATTCATTTTTTTAATTGGTAGAGGTCCAAGAGCCCCCGATGACGCGGGAATGCATTCCTATTCTTTTTTAATTCCAGGAACCCCAATCATTCTTTTAATCCGGTGCCTCCATTTCTTATTCTGGCGGGGGGGGGGCGGGCCCCCCCAAATAAAACAAGTCCTCGGATTAATGCTAAAGACCCCGCCCCCCCGAATGTATATACTCCGACCCGTATTTCATATTAGGGCGGTATTTATCGTAAGATCCATACTAAAGTTGTGGTACAAGGAGACAAGCTCAGATCAGGAACGGCCGGGTAGGCCTTTTCACCGGCCTAGGGAGGAGTCATACTCGAACAAGCCAAAACAAGCCAACAGCCGCAACCCCTGGTTGGCGCCGTAACCTGAGCAGTTGTCTGAGCCGATGGCTGTGACCAGGAGCTATTTGCTGCTGTGGAAGTTGATGTGCCAGCTGCCCAGACTATGTAACGGCTGGGTACATGTCTGCGAGCCGCTGCGAGCAGCAAGAGAGAGTGAGACAGAGAGAGCGATCTTTCAGCCAAAAAGCGCCTTGCTCTTGGCAAAGAGAAACTAACAGCCAGCGAACACAGTTTCATGTGATGTTGGTGACTATAAAAGGGAATCATCGTCGAAGGGGTCGCGGAAGACCTTACAGTGCTTTTGCCAAAGAGCGAAGCGCCCCAAGTTAGGCGAGAGACAAGGCCAATAACCGTGACTTCCAACATGGCCATGCTTCTCTTGCGGGCTCCTCCTAGGCTGTTCCAGACGCCATTTGGACAGGGACTGCTCTTTGCAGGTCGCCGCCCCTGGAGTGCAGCCCCTTAAGCTGGCCCGGGTTTTGAGATTACATTGAGGAACGTAGTACAGGACTGCAACGGAGGGATCATCGTCGCCAAGCTCAACATGAATAAAGCCTCCCAACAAGCTATGACGGAATATGTTGCCAGTCGAGTAGGAGGCTATGTGTCCCAAAATGACGGACAAGAAGGCGCTGGAGCCGACGACTTTCGTCTCGCACAGAACGGCACTGGCCTCACGACTGTACCAAGAGGCACGCCAAACCGTGTGGGCCAAAAAGCCGAGCAGACAGGTAAATAACAACTACATGTGAGCTCACAATGTCGGGGAGTTTGAGTGGAAGGCAAGAACCTCCTACAAGCGCTGCGCCGCAAGAGCTGGCGACTAGGCCAAGACAGCAGTGGTGACCAACATTCCAGGGGTGAAGAAATCAAGTTTGGCGCGGAAGAGGGCCAAGTGGGAGATTAAAGCACGGCGGTGCCACTGATGGGGGTTTTCCGTGGTCTATCCGCTTCCAAGCTAAAGCCGTGGTGGCCAGCGTGCAGATGAATGCACGAAAAGCGTTTCATGCGAACAACGATCAGCCGCTCTATGGGGCGCAGGACAATGGCCGGTTAACACACACGTCCCGAGGGCCTGTGACTCGGTGTAGCTTCAACAACTTCGAGATATGACTTTTGGGAAAAGAGGGCCGGGAGAGACGTGGGTTGACCGGAGCCAATGCTCTCTGCGTACTGCCCGTCCGTGCCCGCCTCTAGAAGTACAATATCCCCCGGTGGCGCACGATCGTCTGGCAACGGATATGGATTCTCCAAGGGGAGGGAGGTGGCAAGACGAGGAGGAGTGGGACAGGACCTGGTGGTGGGAGCAGCAGAAAACAGCATGATCGGGACGTGCCAGGTCAAACGTTTCAACTCCATGCTAACCCTGAAAGGCACATCGTGGCAGTGGCAGGCCAGCGATGGGTGGAAGGTGCAGCTCACACAACCCAAGGATGAGCTTGATGCTGTCTTTTCTGGCAAAGTGGTCACCGACTCCTGGCTCTGGAGAACAGAAACATTCCAGAACCTTGCGCCAAACAAGGGTACGGAAGCGAAACCACTTTCCTCGATGTTGCTAACTACTTGAAGACTTGAAGCGACTGCAGAACCTGGGCAACTCCTAGGCACGATGCCCTCTGCGCGAAAAACAGATGCGTTGTTCCAGACAGAGAGATTCCTTCTCAACGCATGTTACATTTCAGAAGTCAGACCTGTTTGCGATGACAAAACTTTCCATGGACCTGCTAGGATGCGTGATGCTGCCTGGCCCCGCCCGCCCGCAGACCTTGCCTGCTGCTCCTCCTGTCCCTGGTTGAGGATGCCCCTGGTAATTTGCTGTGGCGCCAACGGGTTCTGCGTTTTTGAAAGCAGCCGTCGTACCCCACCGTGCGTATCCCGCTGCCCCCAAGGCATTTTGGCTCGAGTTGTTTGCGGTCGTTGTCGTGGGGGTTATAGGGGGGTATGACGTACTGCGTGGCACGGACCAGGCTGCTGCAGAAGACATTTCCCAGGACAGCCGCCGACGCCTTTGACAGGGAACATCGACGCATTGGAGATGCAGATGCTGGAATTGGGCGCTCACGCGGCAGCTCGTCTAGCGCAACTGCCCCCGCTCCCGCTCAAGGCATGGCTGCAGAAAACTCAGAGTGCGAGGTTGTTGAGTGAGACCAGCCGAAGGTCGCAGGCTGGCAAGCGCTGTCTGCCTCGCTTTGGAAGCAGGCTATGGCGCTGGCGCGCGATGGCGGTGGCTGCGTGAAGCTGGCTGCTCCCAGGTAGCAGAGGTGCTACGCCAGCCTGCAGGATGACAGATATGATCAAGATCGCCTCCTGGCTGCACGCAGCCAGTTCTACGCATTGATCAAAGCTTTGCAGGACAAAGAGGCTAACTTGTGGCTCATCAAACCTAAACATTATGGTGCAATGGGACATGTCGACGGGGCGTGTGATACATAGACTAGTTACACGGGAACAGGTGGGGCGCCCCAAATGGAGATGGCGCAGGCGCCGCCAAAGAGGCGAAGACTTCTGCAAAGGCTGCCTGTCGAGAGCACTACCTCGCCGGTGGTGACAGGCCAGACTCCAATGTGCTCAGCATCCTTGTTGTCATAGCAGTGTGGCTTTGCAGTTTCTCGTGCCTTGCTCACAGCATGCAACCCATGAGCCTTGTGACACGTGCAGTGTGCGTAGGATTGAGTCTTCTTTGCGCTGCGTTGTGTCCAGTTTTGACTGGTTTGAGCACGCTTCGGCTAGCTTGGTTTTGCTATCGCTCATGCAAACCTGACCTGCGTGTGCTCGGGTGATTAGGGGAGGGGTCGCCGGGTTCGTGCGGTTCGTAAGTCCAGACGGCCGCTTTTATTTGTCTGTCAATGCACGCTCCACGCGTGCTGCCATTCGCGGGGGATTTGAGGACTGACCTTTGCCGCCTGCATCTTTGGCCTTGGTAGGCCCATGGGAAGTCACAGCATGCTCTCTGGAGAGGGGTTTGATCGATTATGGCTCAACCCCGACCCCGAGTTCCAGCACAAACCATAACGTTGGCTGCAGCAGCCAAAAGCAGGACAGCCTTTGTGGTCTTAACCGCTGCGCGAGTTTGCCGTCACAGCGCAGGAGTGCGCTGTGTTTCTTGTAATGAGCCTCTGTGGGTTGAACAGTGGCATCGAGTTGCTCCCAACGCCACCACCAATCAACTTGGCCATTACCCGTAGCGGAGATTGCCAAAGTCCGCGAAACATCGCAGCACGCAGCCGTACTCGTGAAGGATAGGTTGCCCAGCCGCTCTGACCATGTTCCCGTTGTGTTCAAGGTTGTGCGCGCTGAGGATGGTAAACCCCGAGAAGTCGCGCTTTGGGGTTTCTTGTACAATGTGGGCAAGGGTGAGGTTTCACATCGCCCTGCCTTCGACGGGGTCAAGATTGCAGGGAAAGCTGGGACTTCGACTTAGCTTGTCGAAGTTGCCAAAGATTATTGTGAGGCCAAAGTTTGGGAGGAGATTATGCAAGCTAAGCTACATGTCCTCCGCAAGCTCGTGTTGGACGCCTGTGCTCAATGCCTTGAGAGAGTCCAAGACATTGATATCGTTGGCATGTTTAAGCTTGCCAGGTCCGGCGCTACTGTGTCTGCTGTGGTCCGTGTTCGGTCCGACGCCAAAAACCCTTTGCCAATGTTTTTTGATAGAACCGATGTTCCAGGAACAAAACGCAAACTAGCCTGGGAAATCTCGCATTTTGCCACTTGGCCAGTAGCACGCGTGGCAGGAAAGTGTGCGACCGGCCACCATCACATTGAGGCCCCGCCGCTGAGTGAGGCCTTCCATTCCGCAATGTCTTCGTGAACCGCAGGTAGAACGCTGCAGCCTCCAGATGAAACGGGTCATAATGCGACGCTTGGAACCAAAGTACAACCGGCAATTCAGATGCGTCTTGCTCATTCCACGAAGCTAAGTGCGGTACAACCTGTCATTTTCAGCGTCGAACACATACAACGGACGATTTGGCGCAAGAAAGGCAGTAAGGACTAGGGCAGAGGCCTCATTGCCCCATTCTGCGTTTAGGGATTGCTTCCGTGCCCA